AAAATCATAAAAAAGTACTCCCAAAATCACAAAAAATACCCCCATGATCACCCCCAAAACACTCTAAAACAGCCCAAAAATACACCAAAATCACCCCAAAAATCACACCCAAAACACCCCAAAACCACCACCAAAATCACCCAAAAATCCCCCAAAGCCCTCCCTAAATCACCCCAAAAATACCCCCAAAATCCCCCAATACAACCTGAAAACACCTCCAAATTCACTCCAAAAATCACCCCAAAATCAGCCCCAAACCGCCCCAAAATCACCCTCAAAATCACCCCAAAAAACCCTAAAACCACCCCCAAATCACCACAAAAATACCCCTAAAAAACACCCCAAAAAATCCCTCAAAACACCCTAAAATCACCCCATAATCACCCAAAAATATCCCAAAATCACCCCCCGAATCACGGAAAATACTCAAAAATCACCCTAAAAACACCCTTAAATCACCCCAACACCCAAACCACCCCAACCCTCCCCAAATCACCCCAAAATCACCCCATTATCACCCAAAAAAATCCCCAAAATACCCAAAAATCACCCTAAAAACACCCTTAAATCACACCCAAAACACCCCAACCTCCCCAAATCGTCCCCAAACCACCCTAAAAATCACACCACAAATACCCCAAAAATCCCCCCCAAACACCCCAAAATCACCCCAAATCCACCCCAAAAATCACCCCAAAAATACCCCAAAATCAGCCCAAACCACCCCAAAATGTCTCCAAGCCATGAATGTCCCTTTCCTAGCGCAGCACTCGCTGATCTTTCTTGGACAGCAGCACTTCCTCCCTCCTCCTCTCGGATAGAAGTTGTTTTGGGATGTTTGTTCCCCTCCTTATGACCCTTCCCTGGGATTTTTGGCTGTGGGTCGGGTGAGACTCTCTGTGCTTTATTTCTGGATTGGGATGGGGACAAGGACAAGGATGGAGACCAGGACGAGGACAAGGACCAAGACAAGGATGGGGATGGCGCCTGATGTCCCCTTAGCTCTTCATGTCCCCTCAGTCCCCTCTAGTCCCTTATCCCCCTTCAGCTCCCTCAGCCCCCTCAGCTTCTCAGTCCCTCATTCCCTCATCCCTTCATCCCCTCATTCCCTCAGCCCCTCATTCCCTCATCCCTTCATCCCCTCATTCCCTCAGCCCCTTCATTCCCCTCATCACCTCAGTTCCTCAGTCCCTTCATCCTCCTCATTCCCCTTCAGGTCCCTCATCCCCTTTCACCTCCTCATCCTCCTTCATCCCTCATCGCTCCTCAGGTCTCTCAGTCCCTTCATCCCTCCTCAAGTCCCTCAGTTCCTCAGTCCTTCATCCCTCTCATCCCTCCTCAGGTCCCTTCGTCCCCTTTCAC